ATCCAGATTAAGTGATCAAGTCCTCCAGTCTGTAGATTATTAAACAACAGCTTAGTATGGCTGAGTTCAAAAAGAAAGTAGTGTGCCCTGTCCTGTTTTACTGCTTGACTATGCAGCCATACAAGACAACCACGGGACAAGAGCCATGGTTTGGAATTGAGGGGCAGAGGATGCATTTCCCTTTCCGGTGTTTCCTTCAGACTCCTAAATGTAGCTCCCCAACACTGTGCTCCCATTCAGAGGTAATGAACACCTCATGTGGGTCATTTCGACACCTGATGTAGCTTGGGGCTCCTGCTCAGCAGCCAGATACTTGGGAGCTTGCAGAGAGGGATGAGTGCATTGACCTGGCCGTTGCTCTTCAGTATGGAGTATAACAGTTCTCCCTCCTGGCACAGCCTCTTGACTATTCTAATCCTCTTTTCTGAGAAGACGCTGAAATTCTTCTCCAATACAATCCAAAAAATGAGTATCTATCTATATAATTTACACTGTATTCCTTTTGAAGTTTTTATTTGATAAGAACATCTGCAAGGTAACATGCTCCTGTGCATGGCTCAGCAGTAAGTAACAAAGCAAACACATGAGCAGGTCACATCCACACAACCAAATCATTTTGCATTTCAATACAGCTTGTGTTCACTTTTTTTCAGTTTTTACACATAAAATTTGATGAAGAATTAACTTCTTGATGAAGTTAATCTTGAAGCAACTTCTTTGCTTCAGATGAAGCAAAATCTGCATGAGGGAACAAGCACATCTGCATTCCCTGATGGAGAAATGCAAATTAAAATGGAGGATAGAGTTAGTGGAAAATGAGAAGCATCTTCTAGGTTGGTCCTTCAGGAGAACTTACTGTCAACAGAACCAATTAGTGACATTCTAGGAAACTGTATATGAATTGTCAGTATTAAAACCTCAAAGTTTAACATTGCCGAGAAAGTGTGCTCTGTTTTCCCATCACATTAAAGTTTTTAATTAGTTGAGTAATAATTTTTTTCTCTCTCCCTCTAATATCTTGGTAAAATAGAAAAATATATAACAAAAGGAATAAAAAAATGTAAAGCTATAAAAGCAAGAAATTCCAGAAACCAGAAAAGAATAAACATTGGCTGTCTTGGAGGGTAAGGAAGGAATTAGGTGCATAATCTTTTTTATATCTATTTTTTTGACATAGTGGAACCTGGACAAGGAAGTCCTCTGGATGGATTAGCTACTTGCTGGGCAACATGGCATCACTGAATTGCTATCCCCTGATATAATCAAGCTGTAAATCATAGTCCTGTGATGCTCGCCAAGCTGTAGACTACAATAAATGTGGTTTTGCTATTGCAAGCAGCATGAACATTCTTCCCTGCTTTATGTGGTTTTAGATAGCATCAGAAGGTAGCTTGAAACAGACTCAGCTTCCAGAATCTCTGAAGCTGATAAATATACCTTTGGTTAGAAAGTGAAGAAAATAATAAGGAATAATAGAACAAAGCAGAAAGGACTTTGACTCTCAACAGAGATTGTGGGTATCTGTTTTTCTTTAAAGGTAAGACTAGACTGCAGCATTTCACTTTAAATGTGAGGTTCTGATAACAGATTGAGGCTGATGGTACAAAATTGTCTGCTACATCCCAAAGAAGAACATTAGCAGAATATTGTGCTTGCAAGACCAAACTTCCAGTCTTTAGGAAATACCAGAATTAATACTGCACAGCCTTGATGTAATAAAAATGGCAGTAGTACTGGGAATAACGCATGACATGTTTTGCCAGTATTTAATGACACACTTGTAGAGACACTCAGAAATCCTTGTCTCTTATTTCTAGGACTGGATGTTCCCTAATGGATGCTGTGTTTGTTTTGTACTAACACCTGCCCTCTCTTGCCTCCTCATTGCCTTCACTGGACACATACCTCCCAGCACTCATCCTTGCCTTCCCTTCCTCCACTGTGTAAGATCACAGAATCATAGAATTGTTTTGGTTGGAAAAGACCTTTAAGATCATTGAGTCTAACTGTTAGACTAACAATGCTGAGTCCACCACTAAACCACATCCCTAAGCACCACATTTACAAGTCTTTGAAATACCTCCAGGGGTGGTCACTCAATCACTTCCCTGGGCAGCCTGTTCCAATGCTTGACAACCCTTTCGGTGAAGAAATTTTTCCTAATATCCAATCTAAACCTCCCTGGTGCAACTTGATGCTGTTTCCTCTTGTTCTATTGCTTCTTACTTGGAAGAAGAGAAAGAAATCCAACTCGCTACATCCTCCTTTCAGGTAGTTGTAGAGAGATGGTTGCTTAATCCTCAGAGCTGCAACCATTTCTTCCTTGCAGTCTTGGTTATGGCAGGGGATCTTTTCCTTCAGGACCCGCATCCTCCCTCTCAGCTGTCGTGCCTTGCCAGTCTTTCCCCTTGATGGAAAAGTAAGTATGGGTAAGCAACATCAACTGCATAGCAGAGTTTTCAGATCCCCCTTGAACTGGATACTGGTGACAGTCACATACAATCTTACTGGGAACAGCTTTTTTTTTTTTTTTATGTTCCAAGGATAAACACAACGGTGAGAGGAATGAATCTAAGGGAACACATGCTGGCTTTTGTTTCCTGATTGCTTTTCAGAGTTCCCTTATAGGTCCCGAGCTTGGACTACAGGTTGAAAATCTCAAAATTATTGCAGTGCAAATATGAGCTGAGATCATCTGTACCAGTATCTGTGTCCTTTCATGCATCTCCTCTTAAAAAGTAACATCCTTCAGGCCATCCCTCCATTTATGTCCTGTCTGTCTCACTGTTAATAGACAAGCTGATCTCTGTTAAGATTTAGGATTATTGATATGAGTTTACAGAGCTTGATAGACTGGAAATACTCAAGTTCCTGTTTTCCATCTTGTAAATATTATTCACTATTTTATAAGCTGTAATAGGCCAGTGATCACATGCATTACTGGCTATTTTTTGACAGTTCATATTCCACTTGTAGTTAAAGGGCAATGTTTCAGTGATTTATGGATTATGGATGTTAGCCTCACTTCAAAATCTGATGGTTGCCATCAGCCTCTTGGGGTATTCTGGCAATGTGGAATCAACAGGATGCCAATTGCATGTTTCACATCTACATTACGGGAATGATACTATAACTGCTAAGTGAAATGACAAAACCATTCTACACAATGGAGAGGAGTCCCACAGTGGCAGCTAGATCTGTTAAAAAATAATTTCCTACTTTGATTTGTCCTTGAGTGATCTGTCCCTATATGGTATTCAACCCTGAATATCATCCAGTGATGCCAGCAAGTCTTTTTTAGACTTGTCTGAAAGGTGAATTGTCAGCCTGTTTTGTGTGCTGCCAGTGTCCATTTCAGTTGCATATGATGCAGAAGACTAACCTGAGGAAACAAGGTATTCCCTGGCCACATGTCTGTCTTCGCAGTCAGTCTCTGGAACTGTCCAATGTAAGGGTTGTTGTTTGGTGGTGTTTTTGCTGTGTATTTTCTAAAAAGTCAGGGGAAAACTCTTCACCAGCTCTGCAAATACCCAGTCGCAGGCAATGGCCAACAGCAGTGAATGAACAGCTGTATTGACTGGAAATGTCTCACTGGAGTGGGAATGTCACACGTTACTAAGAAACTTGGAGACAGTTCACCAGTCCCATACAGTCTGGTCCCCTTAAGAAAAGCTCTGAAACCATTAAACATGGTGTCAAAGGTTGTGACTGAGGTACACAGTAAGGCAGAAGGACTTTCTAAATCCAAACCCTGTTTTGAAATCCTGACAGAGAGGTTATGACTCTGGAAGTGTCCCTGTCCCATTTATGGATCCCTCAGGACTAAGCTAAGAGGGTGGTCTGGCAGGGAGGCTGCGCTCCTTGGTGAGCTGTGCTGACAGCTTCATTCCCTGCAGCGCAACCCAGGCAAGGGGTGGCCTTCACGTGAAATCACAGCATTTGGCTCCAGCCATGAAGGGTATAGCTATGGCTCTCCTGTCAGGCACCCACAGCAGCAGGCTTCTTGCGTCAATCGGCAAGCATGGGAGCAACAGGAGATAGAGTCCCTGCTCCACTCCCTCTTGTCCACAGCCCCACCACCCAGCACTGTCAAATTGTGTCTGGGTTGGACAAACTGTCCAGAATATCTAGCGTCATTACTGCTTGCTGTGCATCCTCACTGACAATTTTTATTGGAACGAATTAATGATTAACAAGGGTGCTCTGCTTAATCCTTTTCAATGGAATTGGAGAGAAGAAGGAGCAGATAAGACCAGATGGATGCAGCAAGATCCTTTTTATAGCACTGTAAGTACCCTTCTAGTTTTCCCTTGGATCATTTGGATGTTTCATTTGGGGGAATTACGTGGCTGCCTGGGAAGGGCACCTTTCTATGTGTAAACAAAGAGATATACTTGTTATGCAAAAAATCAAAACGTGCCAAAATCCAGAAAAAACTGGCTGCTAGTGAAGAACATACTTCACATAATTAACTAAAAAATTTGTTTTGGATACAGTAGAGATGTCTATAGACTTTGCTACCACAGTGATCCAATATTTTATCTTTGAAGAAACTGTAAAACTATTTTGTAATTTTGGTCCGAAACGGTATACTCCGTGTTTATATCACATTTTTGTTTAACATAGACTTAATTCCCTAATTATTTGATGAATTGAGGAAGACTAACAGGGCTGCAGTAGCAATCCTGCAGTACTGAATACAAAACCAACTTCTACCAGTTACTCTGGGGAAAAGGTCATAAAGCTTCCAGTTATTTGCAAATTTTTAAAAATTAAATCCTTCCCTATTTTTTAAAAGATAATATGATCAAAATTACCTCTTCTGACAGAATATTTTGTAACACAAATAGTGTGTCAGGAGGCATATTTTTTCTGGGGTTCGCTGGCATGCATCAGGAAGGTGAAACATAAAAGTATGGGATTTTGGAGAACAGATGTGTTCTGAGAGCCCCATTTTACTTGGCTAGAGCACTCAGCATGAGGAAATTAATTTCCACACCATGTTATGTATGTCTATCTCTTTTCCAGAAACAGTTAAAAGGAAAATGAAGCCCACCATCTCCTTGTGTTTATTGCTGGCTGGTTTGCACGCTGTTGCCCAGTGTCATCAGCATCCTCGCTACCGCAATAAGCAGGGTGATCCAAAACAGCCATATTACCCAGGACACAGTTCTCATGGGGAAGAAGTTTATCCAGCTAAGAATAAAACCTTTGTCAAATTAGTTCCCAGCAATGCTGACTTTGCGTTTTCATTTTACAAGCTGGTCGCATCCGAAGCAACCGATCAAAATATTTTCTTTTCACCCATAAGCATCTCTGCTTCCTTTGCAATGCTGGCACTCGGTGCCAAGTCAGAGACACTGACGCAGATTCTGGAAGGGCTTGCTTTTAACCTGAAAAAGACTCAGGAGCAGGAAATACATGAAGGTTTTTGTCAGCTTCTCCACTTGCTAAACGAGCTCCAGCTGAGCCTGGGCAATGCCCTTTTTATAGATGAGACACTAAAACCACTACAGAAGTTCTTGGATGATGTCAAAAGCTTTTATGAATCTGAAGTCTTTTCTACTGACTTTAACAACTCCTCTGGCGCTGAGAATCAGATCAACAGTTATATTGAGGAAAAGACAAATGGGAAAATTGTCAAACTAGTGGAAAATCTGGATCCTCTCACTGCAATGGTTCTTGTTAACTATGTCTTCTTTAAAGGTAAGAAATATCCAAGCGTGCAAAGGCTGTAACTTAGATGCTTATTGCTTATTACAGGAAATGAAAATCTAAGAGGAAGAAACTGTAGTTGAAATATTTTAAAGGGAGGAAACCATGTTGAGTATCCGGAAAATATTCCTATAAAACTACGTATATTTGTTGTCACTATAAATATTTGTGTCCTCACCTGGTTGAGTGAAATGTGATGATAGACTCATGTTCTAGTGAAAGATGGTGTTTTCAGTATTATCCATCTTTATTTGTCTTCAAGTACCTGGGGGGGGGAGGGGAAGAGCTGCAATGCTGTAAAACCTGAGGATGCAGTAACTTGAAAAATATATTTGTTCTAATCAAAGGAAGACTTTGCAATTGATCCTGTTTTATCCACCATGACCATTTTTCTTTTTAATCTACTGAATTATTTTTCTTTTTGTCATAAGCCCATTGGGAAAAACCCTTCAGTACTTTATATACAAAACAGGAGGATTTTTTTGTGGATCAGAAAACATCTGTAAAAGTTGACATGATGTATCGAAAGGGTTACTACAGAAATTACTTTGACGAAGAGCTGTCCTGTTGGCTGGTTCAGATACCTTACAATGGAAATGCTGCAGCATTATTTGTTTTGCCGGATGAAGGGAAGATGAAGCAGGTGGAAGATACTCTTTTGAAAAGGACTGTGTCTAAATGGGAAAAGTTTCTTCAAGACAGGTAAGTATTTTTGCTATGGTGAGACATGACCATGTTATAGATTAGTAGAATTTTATCATCAAGACAAAACATTAAATGTTATTTTACTAATCTCTCTGTACAAGGCACTTCTTTTCTTAGTTGGAAAATGAAAAAAGAGCTGTGGTTAGTGAACAAATAGGACATTGAACTTGGGATCCATCTTGGGTTAAGTTCCTGGTTCAACCACAAGTTGCCTAGCACCATGATGAAGTTAATAGATCTTTGTTTCATATAGACATTTTGAAAATAAAATGAAGTAGATATTTCTGAAGTATTGGGTGTTAGGGTATTGAGGGCCACATGGGATTTGAAGCATTGTATGTAAAAGAGGAAATTTTATTCATTCACCATTACTGCAGTTATTTCTGTGGTGGCCCAGGCCCTGTTGTATATTCAAATAGCCTTAGGACAGCTAGCTATGACCTTTTGAAAAAAACTGCTACCTGGAAATAGGAGCTCTGTTTGCCATAGGTTTGGTATAGTTGTGTCTTCCACCCCACTCCTTGAACCCTGCTGTGGAGGAAGAGGGTAACATGGGCTCATTCAGCTCCAGCCCTCCATGTCGGATAGCTACACTGGTCAGAAGTACTATTTGAACCCTGACAGCAGACTCAACATTTAGAAAGTGTGAAGTGTCACTAGACTGAAGCCATTGAGGAATGTTACCTAGATGACAATTTGTTCCTATTCATGTTATTTGTTACAGAAAAATACATCTGCACATTCCAAAGTTTTCTATTTCTGGTACCTACGATGTGAAAAGGATAGTCAAACAAGTGGGTATGATTGATCTGTTCACTGAACAAGCTGATCTGTCAGGAATTACTGAGGAGCCTGGACTGATGGTTTCAAAAGTAAGTCAGCACATGAACACAATGACCAGAGGATCTATCTGTTCCCAAGGATCTAACTTTAATATCCCATGAAAATCTTATGCCAGTCTCTCTGAAGTGTAACTGAACCATCAGCAGCTTCCAGTCTAGAGGAAAAGCAAGCCCTAAAGTTTTCCCTAAAATTGAAGCCAAACATGCTTGCAAGAGGTTACACATACATGGTTCAAGGACAAGGAAGAAGATCTACATATAATTAAATGTTCTTTTGGCTACTAAACAAAATTATCTGAAGGTAGCACATTAACTTTGTGAAAATATCCTCTAGTTCCCCCTACAGAGGGCAAAGGGCTGTTATTCCTG